AGAATCACAGAATGCATTAGGCTGAAAAAGACCTCTGAGATCAAGTCCAACCTATGACTGAACACCACCATGTCAACCAGACCAACCATGTCCAGTCGTTCCTTAAATACCTCCAGAGACTCCATCACCTTCCTGGGCAGCCTATTTCAACATCTAAATCACAGAATGCATTAGGCTGAAGACCTCTAAGATCATCAAGTCCAGCCTATGACTGAACACCACCATGTCAACCAGACCAACCATGTCCAGTCTTTCCTTAAACACCTCCAGAGACTCCATCACCTCCCTGGGCAGCCTATTCCAACATCTAGTCAGCCCCTCTGTGAAAAGATTCTTCCTAATGTCCAACCTGAACCTCTCCTGTGGTGCAGCTTAAGCTTTTGTCCTCTTGCTGACTGCCTGGAAGAAGAGACCTATCCCCACCTGGCTACAAGCTCTCTTCAGGCAGTTGTGCGGTGGTAAGGCCACCGCTGAGCCTCCTTTTCTCCAGGCTAAACACCCCCAGATCCCTCAGCTGCTCCTCACAGGACTTGTGCTCCAGACACTTCACCACCTTTGCTGCCCCTCTCTGGACTTGCTCCAGCACCTCAATTTCCCTCCTAAACTGAGGGGTCCAGAACTGGACACAGCACTCGAGGTGTGCTGTACAGTGCCCAGTACAGGGGACAATCCCTGCCCTGGTCCTGCCAGCCACATTATTGCTGATCCAGGCCAGGATGCCACTGGCTGCCTTGGCCACCTGGGCACAGGCTGGCTCAAGGTTAAACAGGCTGCTGATCCACTGGGAGCTGCTCCTGTCATGACAGCCTCATGGCCCTGTCATTTCCTCACGCTCCCTGTTTCAGTCTACAGGCTGCCTGGGCTTTCCTGGCACAACAGCATCCCTCCCTCACACCTCACCGACAGCACTGCTCATGGCTACCCTAATACACACACTGTGAGCCCCACTGACTGCCCCAGAGCAGGACCCTGTCCCCCACTGTGAGTCACAGTGACTAATTTCCTACTGCTCGGCACGGCTGCACAAAGCCGATTGTCCGGCCAGGGTCCTGCCCACTCGGCGCAGGCTCCCACCCCTGCCCCTGCCTCACTGCATTGTTCAAGGTCTTCCTCTGTGGTCAGACCATCCCTCTCACCCCTGATTACACCATTCTTCCTCTTCCCACAGGCCACCAACTTCTCATCTAGGTGAAAAGCAAAGCAAAGGCAAGAGGTATGACAAGCCTCTAACACCCCAGATATGGGAACAGACCGGTATGAATTTTCTAAGCCTGACAAGTAGTTTTGGTCACCCAAAGTTACAACACACGCCTGAGTGAGACAGTATTTGCACATGTGGCTCACCATCCACATTCTGCAGATAGCATCCAGGAGTCCATGACCTCAAGACTTAAAAAATGCACCGCAGTGCAGCATGGAAAACAAGAACACCAAAATAAACCCACTGCCTAAGCACGGACAAGTCACAAAGCAACAAGTGGAAGAGCTTCCAGAGCGAGTGTAAAAACTAATTGGTGGATTTTTCCAAGATCCAATCATACACACACTACAAGCAATTTTGCTGGCTGTCAAGTGGAACCATATGTAAAACTACAGCGTTTCAAGATCCAGTTAAAAACTGGATTTAATGCTGGTACCCTTACAGAAACTTCTAAAACAAATTATTTTAAAAATTGCAGATGGTAAGAAAGATGAAATTGGTTCTAAGTACAGGAAAGGAAACAATTTGGATGTAGCTCGTGCTGGAATCACAGCAGCAGCTGTAACTGTGTACACAGAACTTACACCTGAGCCTTGCTGTATCAGTGTTTGAAGGTGCCAAAAAACACACTGGCAAAACAATGACTGTGTGCCGCTTTAAAGCTGTAATTTAAGAACAGAATACACAAATGTTTCTGCTGATGTAGAAAAAGAGACTAAGAGCTGCAGACAGCATGCCAGTAGAACTTCTGAAGACTACCAGTTGAAAAAAAAAAAAATGGAAAAATCCAAACAAACAAAGAAAAAAATCAGTACATACTGGAAGAAGACAACATTCAAAATTACACTGAGGACTGATTTGACTGTCTCCTCTCTCAGCAGCTCAGAACATATGCAAAAGATACAAATGGATAAGACATCTCATAACATCCTTACTATTCCAAGCAAGTCCCATTTTTGCCCTCAAGCATTTGCTGTTTCTCCAGACTACAAAACAGACCAAACTGACTCACCTCCATCCATCTGCTCTAGATCTACTGAAAACAAATGTGTGATGCAAACCCTTTACAGTAGGCCCTCAACTACAGAACACACAAACATACACACATATTTATTTTTCTCACAGTATTTACGTATTTATTTTTATGGAAGGATCAAAGGTCACTTCTAGGCAGAGTAACTAAAAATCACTTCCTTTAACAACCAAACGTATTATCCTTAGGAACTTCCCTGCAATGTGATGGCACCACCTTACACTGGATCACACAAACCAAAGACACATGGCCAGTAGGTTTTCTTACTGAGAAGGGAACAGTTCAGCAGGTTACAACACTGTCATTCTCACAAAACAAAAAGGCTTTTAGCAGTTTTAAAAACAGCCATTCCACTCAATTATTAAGCACATTTTTCTAATGTCACAGATCTCTACTAACCTGTTGGTCTGCAAGCATCAGCACTCCATTTTACAGGAGTGCTGTATCTTCCTCATGATGATGAGAAACACTTCATTGGGAAAGACCTTCTAAGGACAACACAGTCCTATCTCTGTCATACTGGAACTTCTCTTTTGCTGTCCTGCCTGCCCTTTTTAACTATGCAGGGCTACTGCCACCCTGCACACCTTTTCTCCCCAGCAGGACCATCAGTTTGACACCACATTCAGCATTTGCCACAAAAAGTCTATGCAAGAACACCCTCTACTCCCTCCTGAAAACTAATTCTTGGTGGCCACAGGAGAAGGTGGCAACCTCATGACACTTCCCACAGGAGCCTTTATGTCACAGACAGAACTGCACAAACACACAAAGCCCTGCTTTTCTTGATGACACTGTACCAGCACACTGGCAGCTTCTGCAGCCATTTCATTCAGCCCAGAATCTGAGTGTAAGAATGTGCCCTTTCCTGATGGAGTGACAAAATTATGTTTTTGTCTCCTTAAAAAGGAACAAAAAGCTCAAAAGTTTCCTCAATTAGGTAAAATGACACCTCATAGGACCTTAGGGACTTCACCTCAAACTTAAGGATAGCCAATTACACAGAAGCCAAAAAGTCCTGCCTAAGCAATTTACTAGAAAAAGAGGACAACAAAGGAACTAATCACTTTTGCGAGGTGTTTTACCAGGAGCAAGAGCCTCTTACACTTAGCTCGGCTTTTCTCTGAGCTTTGTTATTATTATTCGTAAAGAGCTTTGTTATTTTGCCTTTTATTAAAACTTTTCTGTTTCCAACACTGCCACAGAAGCCATCCTGCTGATTTTATACTATCTGAAGTAGCTGGGCTATCTCAAGTGTGATATAGATCTCCAAGAGCTTATAAGACCTGGCTCGAAGAGACCATTAAATCACCTCAGCCCCACCTGAGGTTTTGCACTGGCCTGCACGATGACATCTGCAGACACCCTCGGGCGAGTGCATGGAGCTCACCAGGTGTGGTAGGCAGCATGACAGGAAAACAAGATTCCTATAAAAAGTAGGATGATTTTTAAAAAACCTTCTCTGCAACCTGCTTCAGTTCGTCCTGCAAGGTTGGAAGACAAAGACTCACTTTCATTGACACTCCCTGTGAAAAACCTGCACACATTTTCAGCTCGAGTTCACAGCCAGGTCTGGCGCCTGGCCCGAATCCTGCCCCGCAGTCACTTCTGGCCGAGCTCGGCCCTATCTCACAGCCCCATCACCCCAGCAGAAGAAAAGGAGAAGAGGAACAGGCTGCTTGCAGCACGCTGCCAGGTCCGGACCCTCATTACATAATGCTAAAAATAAAGTCCACGAGCGACCAGTCACGCTTGCAAACAGCACCCACAGCACGGCCAGCGTCGCTGGTGGAGTTAATCCCACAAAAGGCGCAAACCTCGCCGATTGCTGCTGCCCACGCAGCCCCAGCACCGAGCACAAGGACCCACAGTCTCGAATGTCAACAGGTGTTGCGTTCTCATTCAAAATATTTAGTTAGCCAGATTCCTGCTATTATTCCCAGGCCAAGACGGTCCCATAAAGCACGGCCAAGATGGGACTGGATTCAGCGAGCTGCCTGAGAGCTCTTTTAAGAGCACAAACACTACTTCAGCGTATAAGCTAAGGAAAGAATGGCACAGTTGGAGCCTCTTGACTAATTCTCCTGTTTATATCCAAATAAGAGGGCACTGTGGAACCTCTCTCTCCCCTTGGCAAGCTGTGAATTTCACTTGGACGCAGCCAAGCCCTATAGATGGGACCTTGTGGCTACCCCACAAAAGATTTCGGCCAGAAAGGGTAGCAAGGACATGTGGTTGAAAGCGGACCAGAAGCACAACAAGGGTTTGTGCGCTGACATCTCGGGGAGGACGGAGCGGAATGAAAATCAGCCCGCCCGCCTCCAGGACGGGTCCGCGCCAGCCCCCGCGGGACGGAGGTGGCCGGGGCCCGCGGGGATTGCGATGCCGCGGGACGAACGCTGGGGAGAACGCGATTTACAGCGCCAGGAGAGCCCCGAAAGCGAGCGCCCGTGTGCCCCCAGAGGCGGCCGCCGCAGGCAGGTCCCAGCCCGCGCCCCGTGCCCGCCGTGCCAGCGCTCGGCGGGGATCGACCCCTCGCACCCCACCGGGCTGGCCGCCCCCCGCTTGCCTTGAGCTGGGACTTGGAGACCTTCCCGCTGCGGTCGAGGTCGAGGGCGGTGAAGGCGTGCCAGATGGACTTGAGCAGCTCCTCCTTGAGCCCCACCATGGCCGGCCCGCTCCCGGCCCGCGCCCGCCGCCACCGCTGTGCCCCAGCCTGCGCCGGCCCCGGGGGCGCNAGCCGCGGCCCTCCCCGGCGGCCGCGCTGCGCGGCAGGGGCGGCCCGCGGCCCTCAGCGCCCCGTTCTCCGGCCTGCCCGGCTTCCTCTCCTGCCGCAGGTCTGCCTTTTATTCTTATTAGGAAATGCACACGGTTAAGTGGACAAGTGCTCGATCTTGTCCCTTTCAGTTTGTTTCTGATGGCTCGCTGTAACATGGGTGGATAAATTGACATTTGTCGCTTTAGTGTTCTTCAGCACGGTTAAGACACTGTTCAGGGTTTTCCCCTCAGATGAGATAGTAAACAAAATAGGCTTGTCGTTGTGTGCTACTGGATAGATAAAATAAGCACTGCGGTAATTCAGGCTGTTGTGAATATATCAGTGAGCTTGATACTGTTCTGTCTTTCCAAATAATTCCCCCCTAGAATGTTGTGGGTTTTTAAGAACAGGAATACAGCTGAGTCTGTGAATGTAGTTTACGAAAGCGTCAGGTCCAGTGTTCCCAGCAGGATAAGTAAGGAGCGCAGCTTTCCTCTTGGAATTTTTCTACGCCACAAAGCTTGGAAGGAAGGCTGCACACAGCTGGAGAGAGTGCAGTGCAATCCCAATGCAGGGGGAAGAGCTAAAAAACCTCCTGCTCCACTACCTCCAGGGCAGAAACCTGACAAAGAGGAAAGAATTGTGCTGTTGGAAGGTTTTTTTGGGTGTTTGGGGTGGTTTTTTTGTGCTAAGTCTTTTTTAATGTTGTGGGTTGGGAATAAGCACTGGTAAGGGCAGCAGCTGTGCAAGGACATCAACAGAGATTATTAAAACAAAATTAATTTCTGCTTAATTTCTTCTGCATGTTGTAGGGAAAGAAAACTGTTATTTATGATGTATGTGCTGTGATCTCAATGGTCTTTTTTCCATGTATGAGTCCCTGGTTTTTGGCTAAGTGCTGTGTTGGTTGGTCTACTTAGCCAAAAATACCTCTTCAGACCGGCTTTGGGGAGAGAAATGGAATGGCCTCTTTGTACCTCTTGATGGATGTCTTCAGCATTTCAGTCTGAACAGCAAATACCATAAATCATGTCAGCAGCACAGGCAGGATCCAAACCCCAAATGCACTGAAGCCCTAGGCCCAAACAGGAGCCATGCACTGAGAGCATCTCTGTGTGCTTATTGTGCAGAAATGGGGGAGAAGAAGTGAAGGGTGATGGGTGTGGTCTTAGAAGGTACAAAACTCTCTAACACTTACTGACAGAGGGTGAGAAATAGGACTCCTGCATGCAGTATTTCCTGCAACTGATAGAAAAGTTCACACATTTGTGTCTCCCTGTAACCCACATACATTGCTCTGAACACTGAGACTGTCATTCACATAACACAGCCCATGATCACTTGAAGGCTTTATTTTCATAGATTTCACGCAGAACCATTAGGATCCCAAACTCAAGACACATAATAAACATCAGGGGGAAAAAATTAGGTTTTGCCCAATTTTAGTCTTCAGTCAATTGCATCATCAGAACAAAAATAGCACTCAAAGTGTTCTGGCAGTACAGTTTGACAACTCTTTTGTACCAGGTGGTGCTGATTTATTGTTATTCCAGTAAAAAGGCACTCAGATTCTAAAGTGTCAGTTAAAATACCATTTATTGCAGCCAACATTATAATGGAGAGAACAGTGTAGATAACCTTAAATTCCTTCAGGAACCCTGGGCTGCCCAGCATCAACCAGGTGCAGCACGTCACACAGATCCTGCCCATGGAAAATTTACACCATTTTGGTCATTCAAGCTATTAGAGGATTTTTGAACAAGGAGATAACTCTGTACATTGTTTCTATGGCCAACATAAAACATGTTCACACCAGAACCCTTTGCTGCCATTTTCAGACGAAGCACAGGGCATGCAGGGGTTGTCATTGCAGGCACCACATGGGACCTGCCCAAAAAATCCTGTGGGGAAATTTATCCCCTGTGGGCCCGGAGGCCAGGCTGGACAGGCAGCACAGCTCAGCACAAGCTGGGAAGTCACAGGCCTAAATTGCCTGGACCACTGATCCGCCAGATACAGGAGCAAAGCCCCCTGTAGGAAGTCATTCTAATTCTCATAGGTGATAAATCATAAGATTGGTTTTCTGTATGTGATGGAGGCTAGAATCATCCACAGATTTTTGTTCTTTAGAGATCTTATAGTCTCCAAGTAGCACAGTCAGTTCCCAAACACAATCTGCCTTATTCACTGAGCATACTCTATCAGCCTTTTTCCCCTGCTTTTTCCTAACCTTTTGCTCCATAATTTATTCAGGACTTTGGAATCCACAAATAATTATTTATGCTCTTTCCTCAAGATGGATACTCTGAAATACATGATTAACATATAAAATTATTTTGATAAAATTTCCTAATGAATCTTATTTGCTAACATTACAGCTGCTATTATTATCAGAAACATCTGCCATTGTAAAACATATTAGCATTTCTCCAATTAGAAGACAGCTATTCCACTTAAGAAGGCAAGAGACAACTTTTATACATGCAGATAGGTTGGTAGCTGAGCACCCACAAGGTCACCAGTAAACACAGAAGACCCTTCCTAAAGTGCCTTAAAATACAGTTAGATTCTGTGAAAAGTCACTAAAGAAAAGCAATTAATGTAGTTCACACATGAATCTTCTAACGGCAGGGACTTAATCTCTGCTTTGAACAGAGTTCAGTGATTTTTTGGCAGTTTGGATTTTTGGTAAAAACAATAGAGTGGAAAAACAAAATCCAAACTAAATGCTCCACAAATTGTAAAAAAACAATGAAAACCCACCACACCCACACATCTAAAAACCAACCAACAACAAAGAAACAACCAACCAATCAAACAAACAAAAAACTTCCAGAAAACAACCCACTAAAACCCTGTGTGCTGCTTTTCATTTTCTCTTCATTCTTTATGCTGGCTTCTGTTACTCCTGATTTAAATGACATGCTAAAATCCTTTGCCAGAACAGGATTTGTTTTCTACTCAGAATATAAATAGTCCCATTCAGGTCACTAGGTTAGCAGCCCATACTTAAATGTTTCATTAAAATGAGTGGTTTATACAAGTCTCAGCTGCTCCAGCACTTGGTAGGTTAATCAAGAGGATACTTAGAAGTTGTGCATAAACCTAGCACATTATTTTATATAGCCATACTCATATTTAAATCCTCAGTGTTTTTATAGGATTGAACTAACTGAGAAAAACCAATTAAAGTGAAGATTATATTCAGGCAAACTTACTTGTGGAATGAAACCTTTGTTTTTTTATGGTTACCCAAAATAGCTTTAACAAAGTTACAGGACTAACTGCATCCACACCCAAAGTGTGAGTTATTTTAAGGAACCTTTCTATTTTGATATGCTAATCTGGATCTTTGCTTATCAAAGACTTTACATTCTGAACCTTTGAAAATAAGATTGACATGTAATCCACTAACCATTAATTAACAGCAATCACACTTAACCAAGAAACCCTTGATAGCACTACATAAACTCTAAATTGCTTGCCTGGTACAAAAGCAAGTTCTGATGCAACTTCACATGCTTCTGCTTTTCCTGAAAGTTATCTGAGAGCTCAGCAACTTCATTTAAAATCTGTGCTTATTCTAATTTTGTTTCCTCACCACAGTTAAAAACATGACTGAGGGGAGGGAAGACTGGCTCGGTCTCACAGAGTGACTCACAGTTTCAGGAAGGAGCTTTAGTTAGACCCTGCTGAGGCTCAGCCTTGAGGGGTCAATCACTTTTCTCTTGGTCCTCTTTGCAGAAACTTAATTACTCCTTGTTAGCCAAATAATAAGTATTTGTCAGGGAAGGTCTAACCAGAGGAAAGATTACGCACTTGAACCGTTACTAATTTTGTTTTATGCCACTGAGTCAGTTAAACTGACATCAAGGAAAGAATTCCGGCACTTCAGTTCTCTGCTCATTGTTAGCCCAGGGAAAATCTTCCCAGCCTTGGCTAGAACAGTCATTTTCATTCTCCACAGGAAAACGAAATGGAAGCAAAGAGAAATTGAAGACCGTTAAGGCAACTTTGCAGCAAACTGTGTTTCCAGTATCTGCCACTTCACAGCAATGTTTCAGGAGAAAATAAAACTGAGGCAAATGCTGGGGTTTATTATCTATGTGTTAGTTTCTGAATAGACTACTCCTGCCACAGAATATCTCAAGGAAACAGTGGGGGAGAGTGTAAAAATCAGTAAGTATATTTGACATAATAGCATGACCCAATCCTCAAGCCATCTGAGGAATTTGTCTTTTCTGTTATTTTAAAACACTTCAGTAGTTTTAGGTGAAACAGGAAGCAGCATTAGATGCTGAATCAGAATGCCAGTTTAGTCTCTCCTAGGAAAAAAAAAAAAAAAAAAGGAAGAATTTTCCATTCACTTCTAAGGCTTTCAGAGCCATCTTTAAAGGGATTACAGCAAGGCACACCTATTTCACTGTTGTTTTTTATTTATACACATGTGCCCAATACATGCATTTTTATTTAAACTTCAGAAAACAAACATAATGTAGGGGTAAAACAGCAGGTTACCTTTCAGTTCCTCCCTGGTAACACACTTCTTACTCTACACTTTCAGCTGATAAGGTATTTCTCACCAAGTTACAGGATTCACCATAGAGAGCAAAATACCACAGACACCTTACCTGCAGAGAGGAAGAGGAAATTCAATCCCATGTGTGCTGCAGTACCCATCTTTTGGGGTGGAAACTGGAAGGAGAAATAACCAATGGAAAAAGGCACTTAAGCAGGGTTAATGTAGAAGAAAATCAGTCAGAATCGAGGAATCTTCAGTGTTGGAAAAGACCTCTAGTATCATTGGGCACTCCTGTTAACCCAGCACTGCCAGGTTCACTACTAAACCATTTCCCTCATGCCACATCCATATATTTTTTGACTTCCAGGGATGATGCTTCCACCACTTCTGTGGACAGCCTGTTCCAATGCCTAAAAACCTTTTCAGTGAAGAAATTTTTGCTGATGTCCCATCCAAACCTCTCCTGGAGCAGCTTGAGGTCGTTTCCTGTTGTCCTGTTGCTGTTACCTGGGGGAAGAGACCTGGCTGCAGCCTCCTTTTCAGCAGTTGCAGAGAGCAGCCAGGTCCCCCCTGAGCCTCTTTTTCTCCAGGATGAACACCCCCAGCTCCCTCAGCTGCTCCTCACAGCACTGGAGGTGAAGCCTCACCAGTGCCCAGCACAGGGGCACAATCAGTGCCCTGGCTCTGCTGGCCACCTATTAATGACACAAACCGGGATGCCCTTGGCCTTCTTGGCCACCTGGGCCCACTCTGGCTCGTGCTCAGCCGCTGTGGACCAGCAGCCCAGGTCCTGTTCCCCCGAGCAGCTTTCAGCCGCTCTGCCCACAGCCTGCAGCGCTGCCCGGGGTTGCTGTGACCCAAGGGCAGGACCTGTCACTTCGCCTTGTTGAACCTCATACAATGGCCTTGGCCCGTCAATCCAGCCTGGACCCAATGCCTACAGGATCAAAAGGAGTTTAAAATCCCATGTTCTAAGGTATGGATCAAATATATGGGGAGATTCTGTCCTGAATCTAAGTAGATGAGAATGAAAAGAGGCAAGAGGAAGGAGCTGCAGAGGCAGAAACATCACTTAAGGTTGGTGAGACTACTAAAGGTTGGGAATAGCAGGTGTTTCTCCTGTCCCCCCCCATCCCTATCCTGTGAAACACCTTGCCTAAAGTGCTTTCATTAGTGGTGCCTTCTGCTGTCTGTAAATCAATAGATGAACAAGATCTCCATCAGGATGCAGGCTGAACACGTAGAATCTTCCTGTGTATAAATTCAGCAACAGCATCAGGTTTTATGTCCATTAGCTCCCTTGCCTGGCAGCAATCTGAGGAATACACAGGAGGTCATTAATCAGAGTCAGGCCACTTAGTCTGCTTTCATCTTGACTCAAAGAGAAATCAGTTTAGACCAGCATGATAATTCAGATGTCATGCTAAATGCTCATATTGTGTATTGTAAGGGAGTCAAATGGCAGGCAAAAGGAAGATCTTTGAAGCCAATGCTTCAGCTTTTTCAAGACTATCCAGAATCTCAGGTTCATTTTTAGGCGTGTACAACCTCAGATCTCTGAGCAACATGTTAAACAATAATAAATTGCTTCCTGTTTAATTAGGCTCAGCAATATTCTCTCCTCGGGGCGCCTCCCTTTCCCCTAGCCCAATCCTATTATACTTTGGGAAGATAGAATCTCCATCCAGTTCCAGCTCTCAGACAGAAGCTGTTTCCTGAGTGCTGTCCTGCCCAGTTTCCTCCTGCTTTCTCGTTTCTGGAGCTGAGATTGGCCGCTCCCTCCGGGGGTTCCAGGCTTCACTGGAGGAAGGGAGGGCTCAGCAGGGCACAGCCCTGATTTGACTCCACTGGCCGTGTTTAGTCCCGGCTCCTCGAGCCCAGTTACAGCAGGGATATTTGCAGGTAGCACACACAGGGGTTTATCAAACACATGCACACATTACACCCCAAACCACGTATACAGACACATGGTGAGGGTGCCCTTTCCAAGCCTACACAGCCAAAGGGGGATGGGGATGGACAAATGAAAACACTTTACCTGAGCTACTGCTGGCAAGAGTGCTCAGTCACTGCTGCAGAACAAGACAGTGCCTCCTAGCAATCAGGGTTGAGTGTCACACCAGCACACAAATACTTCAAAGACAAAATTCAGTGCACAGTTAACAATTTTGTCCAGCAGGTGTTGCTGGAGACTACAGAACACATTCAGGCAAGGTCCAGCTAGCCAGCTTTTGGGAGGGTGTCAAACACACGGTGCTCCCCTGCCCCAGATCAGCAAGGACAGGGTGTCTAAGTATACTTCTATTCATGAAACTTTTCAGTGTTATAAAATAATGCAAGCTGTGACATTGAAATCCTACTTTGGAATTTACAAGCAGTGCCTAACTCCATTTCTAAGTGGAGGGAAAACTTGTCTGTGACTTCTAAAATAAGCCAATTTGACAGAAAGATTTCAGGTTCTACATTTTAGTAATTCAGATCCATTCCAGCTGATAGGGCAACAGGATACTTGGAAACTGAAAAATGAATCCAATAAAAACTAGAAAAAACCCTAGACAACTGCTGTGTAGGGATTACAAAAAACAAACCAAAAAACCATACTAAAATGTTTGACCTCCAATTGTATTTTGACAATAATGGCACAAACAGAATTTCATGTAGTACTTGAACACCAGCTGTGATTCAATATTTTTTTAAGTATACCATTTATGATTCAATTCAATGGTTTAGCCTGCAAGCCCATCAGTATTTCTACGGACAATGGAAAGGTTTGAATTGCAAGATGAATTATCCAAACAGTGAATCAGTCCTTGATACTTGAAATTCATTTTTCTGTGTTAAATGGTGTTGTGTCTTTACAGGAAACTGAATCTGTAGGAGCTTTAATCCATCACACTACCCACTGTTTGGCCAGAAGCTGCAGAAAGACTGAGCAAGACCAAGCAGGTGGTGTTGTCTAGTAATGCATCATTAGAAGATGGAGAAGGCAGAGCAGCAGACAAATACCTAGAGGAGGTGGGGGTATGACATACCTGCTTTCAAGTATTTTTACATTCACTTTGAGTTCTTCATGAAGTCATGTAGTCTGGTCAAAAAAGTTAAGCTTGGGAAATTTAAGCTAGATGAATTCAGGAGAAATATGGTTAAACGTGAAATGTAGTTATTTTGAAGAACATGTTTGCCACCCAACTCTAATGCTTGCTTCTTAAGTTCAGCTGAAGCTTTCCTCTCCAAGTGCTGAAGCTCATCCTGTTACACCATGCTTGGTTGAATCTCAAATAACACCCAACTCTACATTTTTGCGAGAGGTGAGAAGTTCCTCCTTCCACCTGCAAAGGCAACTACAGGTAAGTTCTGCTCAACTACAGATAAGTTTGGCCCAAGTCTTCTTTTTTGCAATAATTTTTAAGCTGCCAAAATTCATGTAAGATTGTTTCCATTAAAAAAAGAAACCCCCTTCAATGTCAGTAAAAATAGATACCACTTCTTACTCAGTAAACATCTGAATCATGAATCACTGGATGCTGGGAATATTCATGGGAAGCATTAACACACACTTCCCAAATTCTCTGCTCCTTCCCACACTAGCCATTGTTGCAGCCAGGATTTACTGCCTCACCACCTGCATCAGAAAGGCTCACGAAAACTCGAGGTAAAATTCCGTGATTCTTACTGCTCCTATAAACTACTTTAGCACTCTGAAACACCTTTTTAAATACTGTCCTTGGCACACAGGAAAGTGTGCTAATTAAAACATCTAAAGTCACTTCAGTCCTGTGGTTTAAGCAGGGCACCCCTTCAATGTGACCAGCACTAAATAGACCCACTGAATTTTTTAGGTGGAAAATACCCTTAAGATCATGGAATCCAACTGTTAACCTGGCACTGCTGAGTCCACCACTCAACCACGTCCCTAAGTGCCACATTCACACAGCTTTTAAATAACCCCAGGGGTGGTGACACCACCCACCACTTCCCTGGGCAGCCTGTTCCAATGCTTGATAACTGTTTCAGTGAAGGAATAGTTCCTAATATCCCATCTAAACCCTCCCTGGCACAACTTGAGGCTGTTTCCTCTATCTTATATCTTATATATCTGTCCTATATCTTGTTACTTGGGAAAAGAAGCCAACCCCCACGTGGCTATTATCTCTCTTCATGCAGTTGTAGAGTGGTAAGGTCCCTCTTGATCCTCCTTTTCTCCAGGCTGAACACCCCCAGCTCCCTCAGCTGCTCCTCACAGGCCTCTCCAGACCCTGCCCCAGCTTCATTGCCCTCTCTGGACTCTCTCCAATCTCTCAATGTCCGTCTTGCAGTGAGGGGCCCAGAACTGGACCCAGCACTCGAGGTGTGCCCTCAGCAGTGCCCAGCACAGGGGACAATCCCTGCCCTGCTCCTGCCAGACTCGCTGTTGCTGATCCAGTCCAGGATGCCATTGGCCACCTTGGCCACTTGCAGCACTCCCAGGTCCTTTTCCTGGCAATTTTCCAGCCACTCCTTCTCCAGCTGCAGCACTGCCTGGGGTTGTTGTGGCCCAGGGGAAGGATCTGGCACTTGGCCTTGTTGGACCTCCTGCAGCTGTGTCCTCAGCCCATTGATCCAGCCTACCCAGAGCCCTCTGCAGAGCCTTCCAACAGATCAGCACTCCTGCACACCTTGGTGTCAAACTGAGGGAGCCTTCTGTCCTCTCACCCAGATCATTGATAAAGACATTACACAGGACTGGCCCCACTCTGACCCCTGAGGAACAGCACTGGTGACTGGCCTCCAGCAGGATACAGCTCCATCACCTCCTCCCTGGGCCCAGCAATCCAGGCCATTCTTTCCCCAGCCACAAGCACAGCACTCCAAGCCCCCAGCACAGCTTGTTTGCACAGCAATGCCTCTACTGATGGTACAGGCCTCTGAAAATGGGGGATGAGAACTGTACACAGAACTGTAATAGGTATAAACAACTTCTTTACACTGTAGAAAGGCTTAAGTTCACTGACCACTCACCAACTGGTATTTCTGACTGTTCAGAAGTATGCTTAAAGGTCTCACTTAATGTAGATGAACATTAAAACACTGCAACAAACCCATGTAATTTAAATTCTCTCACAAACAAGACAGGGCTACCTTATAAAGTAAAAACCTAAAGGTATTTCAGCATATACATTTTTTAGTTATCAGTAAAATATCAGTATTCATATACCTTAAACCAATACTCTGAATTTCACTGTCATACGACTAGAATTGAGAACTCTTACTTAGTTATTTTCTGCTAATTGCAAAGCTGAATTTTGAGTCCACAGAATTCAGGCACAGCTTCTCTGAGTCACCTGTGACTCTAACATAAGGAAAAACTTCCACAAGAGACTGATCTATTAAGCCTTTGTTTACTATGTCTCTTTTTACATGTACCTCCATGCCACAGGGCATGCCATTATTGTGTTCCTGAAATATTCTAACTCCTCCCAGTTTTCTTCCCAACTTCTAAATCAGCAGCTCTCTTCCCTTCTCAGCAGTTCCTGCATTTTTCCCTTACCCCAAGACCCAGCTATTTCTTCACATAGTTTCTATTCCTGCAGCATCAGTCATGAGTTCCACTTCTTCCAGGGGTTTCATCTTTCCCAATGTAATACCATTCCTGAGGCTGCAGAGACAGACTGCCGTGGACACTAACACATGGAGTAGGATCCTTCTCTCCTAACTATCAGCAAGTCTCTTATCTCCCTCAGTCCCACTCTCAAGGAGAGGGAATCACAAGCATTAGGCATGAGTGGGAAGCAGATCTCATCAGGACTTGCCATAGTATATTCCCAACTCAGTATTTTATTTCTGTAACCTACAAAGTTAAATAAGTGTTACACAATATTAAACAAACAGAACTTTTAACTTTAATGTTCAAATTCAACACTAGTAAGAACAAATAGAGCACAAAAGGGAAACATTGTTTTAAGTAAAATGAATGAAGAGACAAGCCAGTAATCAGAAAAGTTCTTCTGTCAGCCTAGGTTCAATATCAGCACTGGTTCCATGGCCACATTCTGCTCCACATATTGGAACTTCAAACTGAATAGTTAAGCTGTGTCTGCTGGCATCCCAGACTGCAGTTTCTGTATAGTACACTATAAGCATGATCAAACTTATGTACATAAACAATGAAAAACAACCTGAACACACTAAACAACTATTTACAAGTATTCCAACATAAAAAACCAAACATACAAGAGCCTCAAGAATGGGCAACTGAAGAAAATATGAACATTCAGAGAACCTTATTAGAAAGTAGAACAAAACATGAATAGCAAAGACATTAACAATTGCACTACACTAATACAGAGTCCAAATATTAAATTGGTGCATTTTTTCACAATGCACTAGCTTTGAGAGAAAAATGCTGCCTTCACTAAAATGCAGCTTACATTTGTTTCACTTAATTGCTTTAACAAGAAGCCTATTAACACAATAATGATTGTTTTAATGCTACAGTTTACAGCAAGGACATCGAACTAAAAATAGCAGCAGTTCCACATGGCACTTAATTCCACAGGTTCCTAAGCTGTGGTTTATGCAATGCCTACAAAGTGCTCCCAGTTGAATACACAAATAAAATTCACAACAAAAGTCTACCTGACATCAGGTACATTGACTGTAGGTGGCCTTAAAGCCTGTCTTTTAAAATTTAATCCCCCTCTGCTCCAAAAAAAAAAAAAATTAATTATCAAAGTAAGGCCCCCTCCCCTCCTTCGTAAAAGATTAGGGATATTGCTTCTTATTACAATGCTGTAACACTACAAAGCAGCACACCACTATAGTGGTTAACCCTGGGACAAGATAACATCTAACAGTGTAACCGAAAGGCTTGTGGAATAACATCCAGGATCCTCTACGGACAGGAGAGTAACCGAGTCCATCAACCCAAATGGTTAATACAGAACCAGCCACGGAGTACAAGTAAAAACCAGAAGCAATAGCTGTAAACTGGTGATACTGACTACAGGACAGGAAACAGGCACTGAAGGCTTCCTTCAGTCCCTTAGGCCTGGGTGCGGCAGAGAAGCTGCGGCCGTCTCTGCGGTGCCCTGGCCCCGGTCAGTAGATGGTGAGGCTCAGGGAGCGGTTCATCTTCTTCCCGATGAGCCGCGACGGGCGGCTCTGCGTCGTGGAGCGCGTGGTCATCCTGTCCGTGAACAGCGCGCGCTCCTCGGCCGCCGCCTTCGCCAGCTGGGCCTTCTTCAGCTCCCTGCGACACAGGACAACACGGTCACACCAGCAGTGCCCACAGGGATACAGCTCATCACAGCAAGAGATGCCAAACCAGCTACAGCAGGTCACAGACCAACGCTTTACGTCAGTTTTGGGTCATACTGACGGCATTATGATTTGCATCCGCCTGTTTCCAAGCAGAGGGCAGAGGTGGGATCTCATTACTTGTCTAGATGTTCTTTCTTTTGAAAAGCGAGGGAAGGAAGTGAAAAATTTACACTCAGATTCTGAAATCCAGCCTGTTATGAGCAGCTCAGCACTTCAATTACCAGGACACAGGAGGGTGCTTTTACTTCCTAGCACAAGGCACGTGTTAAGTCAGAGTTCATTACTGAGGCTTGCCCAAAGGAAGAAAATTCAGCCACACCTGAACTTCTGTGGGAGACTCAGATACTTAGAAGAGCACAGGTGTGGGTAACTGGCAACAGACATCTCAGGAAGCATCCCTTTCCTTTTGCATACCCACATCAAAAGCTGATCACCGCCTCCACGTTTTTTGCCTAACAAAAATGGGAGCCTGCAAGGCAGAGTCACTGAAGGCAGCGCGGGCCATTGCCCCTGTGCAACATTCTGCCAACTGTTCTGTATCAGAGAATTACTAATACCCAGCCTGAGGACAAACTTAAATCAAACTCAGGATAAAATTATAAAATAGTCCAACTACAGAGCACAGCTACCTTTATAAAGATTCCCCCCATACACTGCTTTTCTCCTTTCTTCAAATACTGACATATGGCTAAACCTCAGCCTTCCCCCATACTTTCTCCCTTCCACAATCCATTAAAGAACTTTCTCTACTGTAAGAGTATTTGTAATCTCACTTCACACCTGGCTTCCAAGCAAAATCAAATTTTACAAGCTTGCTGCACATTGGTGTAGGTGTATTCAGTTTTAAGCTACATGTTTTAGTTTAATAAGCAATTCCCGTTCTTGTAAGTCAGAGTATTATTCATTAACACCCGTGCCCCATCTAATCACCCCCACATTATCACTGTGCCAGTTCACTGGAAGAGAATGCAACCAATTTTCATTCCTCTTCCTTGTGAGCATCCATCACAAATGCACAATTGTGTGCTCGCCCAACCACCACACGACATTACCAGAAAATTTAGTTTTACAATATCCTTCCACTCTTCCCTAGAAGTCTTGAGTTCTTGCCTAGAAATCTGGAGTTCTTCCTTCCTCTGAAGAGGACAACACAGTAGAAAAGCTGAGTTGCCTTAAAAGGATTATTTTCACTGAAGATTACTTATACACAAAAGTGGTATTATAAATGGTTCAAATATAGAAATTTAAGAAAAAACAAATCCAAAACAAAAAAACCCTGTCCTCCCCAAACTACCTGAAGTATTTTATGGAGCACTATGCCAGACAACATTAAAAATTACTGTGGCTAAGTGTTGTTTTTAAATCATTTTTGGATTTACAAGGATGTATCCTTGTTGCCAGGCCAGAAGGAATCTTCACAAAACACTGGCTTTGCCATTTTTCTCTTTCAAGTGATGCAAAAAGATGTTGTCTTCATACAAGCAAGCAACTTACCTCAGCAAATCTGCCCTTTAGCAACCTGCACAAGTTGTCTAATTATTCTTTCAATGTAATTGATAACATTATAAAGATAACCACCTAATCTAGTACATCTGGCTGTGGTCAGACTAGCAATGGCAAGATAAGCAGGTAACATGGAGTGAACCTGAACATGAAATTAACATCTTCATTCAAGACATACCACTCAAAAAGAAATCAGTGATCTATATTCCCTCATAAAAGCCTGCCCATTACGTATAACACATGCAAAGATAACTGTAGCGAAAGAGTCAGATGGCTGCTTATTAATTTACTAACTCTTTCCCTGAAACTTCAGCAGAAATCAGACTTTCCTAAAGGCAATCTCTTTTTCCAAGCTTTAATTCAGAGTGAGTGTTTGAGCAAGGGATAGGACAAGACCTCTGGATACAAATGATTCTCTGGTGACCCAGTAACACTGCTGTGTACAGGTCAAATTAGTCCAATAACACTCCTGATGTGCCATTCCATTTAGGTTCAAAACAAGTAATTTAAGTAGTTTGCCAAAATTTCAATGTACAAATGACCTAGGAAAACACAGACTCAAATCACACAGATGCAAGCTAGGCTATACCTGTCACAAAAGTGTGCACTGTCCTGAAACAGTTGTTTAAAATCATGTTTTGTATGCCTTGAATACTAATAGTGCTGTTGAGATTCCCCTAGAGTGTTCAAGCAGTTCTTTCTGTGGAGAAAGTTCCTTTTAAAGTTCCATGACCCACTTTGTACTCTCAGGTATGCACATGCATACAGATTCGTGGATCTCATCCACAAACAAGGACACTCCTGTTTTGTCATCACTTCACTGTCAGGTGAGAGCCTGTTAGAAATGAAGTCCTGTTGAAGGACCCCAAGGACCTACTTACTTTTGCAAGAGGGAGTTCTTGAACTTTTCAGCGTTCAGCTCTATCCGGAGCTGCTCCGCGCTCTTTTTTGCGGCAGAGAGAAGCACTGAATGCTTCACTAGTGCCACAGCCGAAGGCCTTTTCTCAGGGTCGGGATTAATCATAACCTTGGGGAAAAAAGAAAACATCTTTGTTAAGGCCAGCAAAACAATAAATTACACTTATCAGCGAGCCACTACTACAGGAGTTCTTACTTTTAGTAAATCTAATAATTCTTGAGAAAGCACTTGTGGTAGTCTGGGCAGTTTTCCTTGCCGAATTTCGTGCCACTGGTCCCCATTGGTTGGAAGTGGTTCGGCGCCAGCGGCACAGACAACAGTCAGAGCGAGAGCAAAAATATCCGCTTTCGGCAAGTGAGTGTAGTTCTGGAAAAGAAAACAGGAAAAATAAATTCACCATTTTTTCCTAAAGGAAACAGCATGCAGGCCTAACATCACTGCTTCCCCAAACAGAAGAGTTACCTCTTGTAGGACTTCATTGGCAAGGAAACGGCTGTCACCTTCTTCCACTTGAGGACTAGAGACTCGAGTTACATGGCCCAGGTCACCTGCAAGGAGAAAAAAAATTTACTTTTCAGAAGACAACGAGATGATGCAATTATTTTACATGCAAGTGTGCTGTTTCTCACCTATTTTAAATATGACTCTATCAGATGACCAGTCATCATCATCGCCTTCCTCTAGAGTTATACTCGGGACTGATGTTCTAGATATGAAAATGTTACCTGAAAAAGAGCAGAATTGTTAAAAGAAACATTTCTGTACCATTTCTACTTGACCTAGTTTCAGTACAGTTTGCTTTAGCTACGCAGACATTTTATTTGTATATAAACCCTGTTCAAAGAGTGAGAAGCTGAAACTGATTTGCTGTGGCCCCTCTGCTGGGAAGGCAGCCAAGTGTTATGCAAGGAGAGTCAATTACACAAAAAGGACCCAAGATAAACTCAACAGTTTAGGTCTGCTGGCCAATTTTATAACTGACATCTTTGTGCTCCTATTCAGAGCTTCAGGGAAGAATTTACAGTTAGTAAGGTGGGGCTAACTGTTCATTTTTCTACAGCAGATTAAATGAACTGAGCAAGTTGTCAATAGAGAGTAAAGTAGTTACAAACTTACTAGGTTTGATATCCATGTGTACCAGGGACATTGAATGAATGTACTTTAAACCTCGAGCCACTTGAAGCAGCAAGTCCTTCAGTTCTGGTTCAGTAAAATAACGCATGTTCCTGTAATTTTCACTTATGGCATCTGCTAAACTGCCACCTGAAACACCATTAAGAAAACAAGTTATATTTTTGCATCAAACAGCTGACAAAGTAATGACAACTAGCTCCCAAAATTAAGTGAATATATCACAAAGAATTTGCTGGCAATATGCAGTAAATGTAAAATATAGTGCTGTATCCTCTTTTTAGCCATGTAACAATAAAATGAAATTTTCTCCTATAATTGTCACACTAACAGGATATCAACACAAGGGAAAGGGCTCACTCTCTCTTCCAAATCTCTGTCAGGGCATCAACAATAGCAAAATGCTTCAGAATCAAGTTTAATCTCCTTTTTAATGGAAACTCTAGCAATTTCCTCTATTCCAGCTTGTACTACTGTACAGAAGAAAGAACAGTTCTTCTGCTCACGAACTCCTAAGAGTACTTCCAGTATGCTTGAACATGCATGACTTGGTCTGCAACTTTGTACAGTTTTTGTTTCATCCATCTGATATGCCTTTTCCAGAAAGGAATATCAATCACTTGAGAGAAAGACAGCATGAGCTATGAGTAGGGTACAGTTCCTAACTAGTGTTAAGAGCTTGTAGATACCTGTACATCTTTGCTTACCATTGCAATATTCATTCTGTATAAGCATGTGATCATCTTCTGCCCATGCAGAGTAGTACCTCACTACATGAGAATGCTGTCCCAGAACTGCATGTGCATAGACCTCTCTTAAAGCATTCTGCCTGTTAGACACAAAAAAACAACAGCACACGTGAGTATTGTGAGGTGAAATTAGTGTAATTTCTTATTACAGTAGGTATTTCTAATTAAAATCCTCCTATTCAATTCTGTGGCACCCTAAGCTGCATTTGTACTTATGTCCAAACAGCTAAAATCATTTACATTATATTAAAAGACTTAATATATGGAACATCAAAAAAACAGTTTGGTGTGGGAGCCATGCTTCCATTACATACTTATTAGTAGAAATAGCAAACTTTGAGATGAACTACTGAAGTTCTAGGCAAAAAATAGAAGTGTTCATAAGCCAAGGGTTTGACTGAACTCAACATTCCCTAGATTGTAAGTCTGGTATGCAATTTTGTGCAACTCAGACTTGTGGGGTTTATACTGTAACTATTTGAACACACTGTTGTGTGTTCAAGTACTTTCAATATAAACTATTTGAACAACTATTCCCCACACTATTGAAGTGTGGGGAGAAGTCCTGAATCACAGGTTCATTCACAAATGCCAAAAAATACCCCCAAACTGACTTAACTCATCTGCATGCCACTCAAGCTGACAAGGATGAGGACTGAGTTGGGAATAGTGCCTTCCTTCCATCTCTCAAAGAAACACCCTTGCAAGGAAGTGTTATTCTCACTTTGAGAACAGTCTGTTTCCACACAGAATACTGGGACAAACATCTGGCAGGAGAGAGGCCAATCAGCCTCTTCTCCCCAGTATTGCACAGTACCTGGGGAGTGGGTGGGGAAGAAAAAAATCAAGTGGCTTCAAAATTGTATCTATTTTATATTGAATTCATGTTTGTTTTATACTTTTCTCTTAAATGCCTTCTCTAGACACCAAGACAAAGAGCCATGTGAAGAAGAAACACCAAGAGACTTTTAAGAGCAGGAAGTACTCACTCGTCCACTGAGCCAGCCAGGGGTTTCTTGGATCGTTTTATTGCATAGATGCAGCCATCCAGCCTCTTCACACACTTAAACACAGAGCCAAATTCACCAGACCCAATCTTCTCCAATTCATGGAATTCAGTTGCATACCGTGACTTCATGTTGCTTTCTGTTATTGTTATCCTCTGCAAAGATTACCAAGGAAAATATTTAGATCTGCAGATACACAAACTGCTGAAATTAGTATCAAGGCTGAAAGATGAAGTACCTTAGCAGGTCTCATGGTTTCCTCTTCAGGCTCTCCATCACTTGGTTCCATGTCCTCTCCACAAGAGCTGAAATTCACACCAGAAATAACATGGTTTAAGTAAACTTTAAACTGAAGTCCAGAAGCTGTTAAATTTTTTCTGAGATCTAGTTCTCCTATTCTATCTAATTTTTGTTAGCTAACTGAACATTAGACATCTATAAACACAAACTCATAAAATTGCCATGCGAATATCTTTATAATTTCTTTCTTCATGTTTCACACTTGTGTTTAATACATTTTTTTTTCCTCCTTAAGAGAAGACTGTGCATGGCTGATTTCATGATAGAAAAAAGACCAGCACACAGCCCAGTCTATCCTCTCTGTACAGCAATCAAAAGATCTAGTGCTAAATTATTATTTCATGATACCATGCCTCTTGAAGCACATACTTTAAGAGCTGTATTATACATTACTAACAATCTGCAAGCAAAAATACTTTCTTAGAAGCAATTTGTAACGAAATGTTTGCAGCCAAAAGTAGCTCTAAATACAAGTTTTACAAAGGAAGCTACAAGCCACTTACTCATTCCAGTGTATCCTCTTCCTCCTACGACATTTGCCTTCGGAGTTGTGAAGGAACATGGAGTCAGGAGTGAAGGGATTGATGTTCACATGAGGTGTTTGTCTAAAATCTTCTTCTTGCTTCTCTGATTTCCCAACATTCATAAACAGTGAGCCCCCTCGAAGTTTGACTGAGCTGGAGCCTAAGCCTTGTGCTTTAGAAAGCAAACTCTGTATTTAAAAAAAAGAAACAAAACCAAAATATTTATAGTCATTTCTAGCCTTGGTATTGCCTTAGACATTAAACAGTCAGGTCATGCCTGAAGCCATCATTACGGTATTGTCTAATTAAAGTTAGCATCAGTTGTTGAAATATCTGCATTTGCATCAAAAAGACTTTCTAAGAAACTATAATGCTTTGTACTCTACACAGAAACAGTTCAAGCAAACAAGTATTAAAATTATTTTAAAAAGATAGCAAAGATCATGATGAGAGTAACCTTTTTCTGTCTTTAATCATTTCATCACCTAAACTTCTTGGACAAATCTTTGTCAATTAAGTGAACACAGATGAAACTCGAGGACAATCCTGTACTGTATCACTATGATTTGCACATGCATGATGTGGAAGCTAGATCAGACAAGAAATGATCTTTGGTTTCTACAAATTTAAGTGACAATCTTAAAAAATTAATACAACAAATGCAACATTTAATATTGATGCACTGGTCCATTTTCTGAGCCTACAAAAACGGTTCAAGAATTGGCAGCATGGCTGCACTGTCAAATATCCAAAACTCATCTTCTGGGTGGTAATTTGCCAGACCAGGCATCTTCCAGGCACACAACAAAACTTCTCCCAGTAACACTGAAAAATGTGCACCCGAGTCTCCTTCATCCTGGTGAGGATGCATGGATGACTGGATCACAAGCAGGAGCATCACCTTATCCTAACAACAAAATAAAAATTTGACAGGACTAAAGCCTAAACCACCACAGGGAAGAACACTCAGTACATGGGAATCTCAACTGCAATCCTCAAATCTGCCCTAGATGAAGATCCGTGCGTCTCAGGACACATTTCTGTACTTCCACTGGATACCTGAACCAACTGATTCTTCTAAAGATAACCTATGTAAAATTTGGCCACCCAATTTAAGAATCCCACTGAGCTGCTGTGTTAAGAACTTGGTTTTTTAGTATCACATTCCACAAAACTTTTACAGCTCTGAAGCGTCTGCTCCTGACAAGGTGTAAAATCATCATCAATTTTACTTTTACAAACTTGTACCACTGATTTTTAGCAATGAACCCTCGCTGGAGATGGAAGCTGTAGAAAACCAATTAAGAAGGAAGCCTTCCTCGCACCTTAAGTCAGTTGTTTTCCATCTATAGTCTATAGACCCCTGGGAGATTATCCCAGGGGATTATCCCAGGATTACTTCTAAAGGGCTATATGAAAAGTAATGAAGAAAGGAAGCCAATTATCACTAGATTTAAATTCGCCATACGGGATTCTACACAGCGTCGAGTTCAAAAGTTGAAATGCCTTCCAAAAGTCTGCTATTGACAGAGTTAAGAGCCACTCATCTCTCCCTCTAAACTCTGGGCTCCATCATTTCCCAGCACAGCCTCTCACGTCTGCTGCAGGGGCGCAGAGCTGCAGCAGCGCTGGCACACGGCAGCAGAGCCCTGCCCGTGACCCAGCACCGCCGTGCCACCGCACCGAGCGTCCAGGCTTTCCTTAAACACCTCCAGGGACGGTGACTCCACCACCTCCCTCCCAGGGCACTCCATTCCGATGACCAATCACCCTTCCTGTGAAGAAATTCCTCCGAGGACACGCCAGCTCACCGAGAGACGCTCAGGATCACACCCCAAGCCGAGCTTTAACTTTCCGGCTACACCCCTACCAACGCCCATCGACACTCCAGCACGCGCTTCAGGAATTTTAATACTCTGCGCTCGCTCTTTTCACGTATGCTTTCCACAAAACACTGCCAAACTCGGAAAGCTTTGTTGTTTCTCCATGACTAACACCGAAGTGACCTAAGCAAGCGGCTCGCCCCGTGCCCGTGTCCCGTCGGGAGGCGGCGCCGCCCGGCCCCGCCCCGCCCCGGCCGGAGCCCCCGGCGTTCCGAGCGCTGCCCCCGCCGTTACTTAACGGACCGGCCGGGCCCGACCCCCGGCTCACCTTGGGCGTGTGCGGCGTGTCGAACAGGCGCAGCTTGCGCAGGGTCTTGTGCGGCGGCGTGCCCGGGTAGTCGGGCAGCGGCGAGCCGGGCTCCTCGCCCCGCGCCCCCCGGTACCCGCCGGCCGCCGGGTGCGGCGGGGAGCGCTCGCAGCAGCGCCGGCCCTTGTGCGGGGCCAGCGGCGAGGGCGAGTCGAGCAGGAAATAGGCTCCGGGCGACTTGACCGGCGAGGAGCCGAAGCCCTCCTCCTCCCACGAGTCCCCCTCGTCCGGCAGCGGCGCCGCCGCCGGCTCCATCTCCTCCTCCTCCTCCAGCAGGGGCGGGTCGCTCCGCGCCGGGGTGCGCGCGGCCGAGAGCGGCGAGTCCGCCTCCTGGAACGCCGAGTCCTCGCCGGTGCTGTTGGCGCTGCTGCTGCCGCAGCCTTCCTCCTCCTCCTCTTCCTCCTCCTCCTCGCAGTCGCTGTGGCCGCTCAGGAACAGCAGCTTCTGCCGGATCGGGGCCGCCGCCCGCCGGGCCGAGACGCGCCGCGGCGGCGCCGCCCGCTGCAGGCTGAGGAAGCTCATGGCGGCCGCTCCGCCCGTGCGGCTCCCGCTGCGCTGCCCGCGCTCCGCCCGCGTGCGGTGCCGGTTCGGCTCGCGCTGCCCAGGAACGGAACCGCCGCGCGCCGTTCGGACTCCGCGGCTTTCCCGCGACCGTTGGTCACGTGTCGCGCACGCCGGCCAATCGCGCCCGCCCACCGGGTTTGAAAACACGGCGCGCGGGGGCGGGGCCGCGCGCGGCCGCGTCACGGGCCGCTTTGGCGCGAGCGGAGGGGCCGGGCCAGGCCGGGGCCCCGCCCCGAAGCGGCCGCGCGGACGTGTCCGCCCGTGAGGCGCGCGCCCGGCGCCATTTTAGCCCCGGGGCGGCCCCGCCCGGGCAGCGGGAACCGCCTGGAGACGGCGTTCGGGGAGCGCCGGGAACACCGCGGGCACGGCGCCTGCCCGGCACAGCCAACTCCCGGGACAGCGCCCGGCGAGCTCCGGGACAGCGCGCCGCCCTGCGGGACTGCCGCTCCCCGCTCCTCTGCAACGTGGTCTTGCTCCCGTAGAGTTGCTGGAACTGAGCGTGCAGAAATGTCCATAATAATAATAATACTACTACAGTATTTACTATATAATAATAACAGCACCTCCTGCGGCATTAAAGGCCCTTTCTCCTCCGCTGAGCGCAGCCAGGCCCGTTACTGTATTTCCACGACGGACGCACGTGGTTTAAAGGGCCGCGGGAGCCGCAGCCCGTGCCCCGTGCCCTTCCCTGCCGTGGGACACTTCCCGACGGACTCGGTCCCAGCACAGCGAAGGCCACGGACGGTGGATGCTGTCATCAGACAGTGTCTCCCTACAGGTGCCACCACTTCGCCTCTTGGCTTCCTTTTCTGTCTGGTTACACCCAACCGATAAACCTGCCCCTCTCTCCTGACTGGACCAAATCCCCTTAACACGAGCCCCTTGGGTAACAAAGCACATGAAAAAACAGGGTTTTCCAGCCACGGGAGCCCGGAGAGCCCAAAGCCCAGCTGGGTATGCGGGTTGAGCGGCTCTCCGATGCTGCGGGCTCCCCGGACACGCAGAGCATTCCCTGGACACGCAGAGCATCCCCGGGATTCGGTCACCTCTGGGCTGAGCGCGCTGGGTGCTCGAGGCTGCAGCACAGCCCCTCCTCCGCAGGGCTCCCCTCCTCGCCCGGCAGACATTCCTCACGTGCTGCCCCTGGCACACTCCTAGAGAGCAGGACCACGGACCCACAGGGATGTCAGTGTTCCCTGTTCCACCAATTCCTCCTTCTTTAACCTCTTCTGCATGAAAACACCCATTTCTCTGCAGAGAGCTGTCCTGGTTTTAGGATAAGCGGTGATGAGCCACAAGTGATGGAACGCAAGTTTTGAGATTTGCATTTTGGAGAAAACTGAAAACGGGTTTCAGAAAACCGAAAGTAGCCAACAGAACCTGTGAAAGTGGGTCAGAGATAAGGTTACATCAAGTCAAGTAAAAGCACACTTGGTGTGCAATAATTTAGAACCACACT